CCCACACCGACGCCTTCGTCGCCCCGGAAACCCTCCAGCGCATTCCCAATCAATAGAAGATATATGGCTTTAACAATCCGGTCAACCACGGGGCGCTGCCTCGCCGCGTCGGCCACAGCGGCACGGCACTGGCACATTGCCCGACCCCAGTGCATGCAGCAGCGGCTGCGTCGCTCCGTGCAGGCACGCGCCGCCGAGCCGCCTTCCGAGCCGCAGCCGACCGGAACTCCCACAGCCACGGCGGATGAGCAGCAGCAGGGCGCGCCAGCCGCCCAGGTCGGGGCGCCGGCGCCGGTGCAAGCAGGTCCGCGTGGAGCGCGCAAGGCGGGCAAGCAGCAGCAGCAACAGCAGCAGCGGAGGGAGCAGCGGAGGGAGCCGCGGCCGATACCCATCAAGGGCATGGTGACGAAGCAGCAGCAGCAGCAGCAGCTCGCACCTGGCGAAGTGCGGTGGGATGATAACAAGGTGGGCGCGTCGGTTGAGGCCTCTTATGCGCAGTGTGCACCCAGCTCTTGTCAAAGCTGGCAGTACCCTTTTGCTTTGCTGCTGCCTCCACGGCCGCTGACACGGCCGCAGTGGCGGCGGCAGCAGGAGCTGCTGCTGCTGATAACGTTGCTGCTGCTCCCGGCTCCGCTACTGTCGCCGCCCGCAGCCGCGGCGACCGCCCGCGCCCACCGCTTCCCCACCAGAGTGGCGGGCCCAGCGATGCCCACCCTCGTCCCCCTGGCTCCATAGCAACTGCGGCGCCGCCAGCTGCTCCTGGCCGTCTCACCGTCTCCCCCACCCCCCATCTCAACCCTTGCTGGCCCGTTCAACCTACCACAACCCACACCCACCCTGTTTCATTTGTCCCCCAGCTGCTGCCTGAGGGGTGGGAGGAGATGGATGTTCCCACCAAGGTGTACCAGTTCTACATGGGCAGGCGGGGCGTCCTGTACTGGCTGTCCCAGGCGGCGTGGTACGGCAGCATAGCGCTGGCCGGAGCCTGGATTTTGTTCAGGTGGGCGCTTTGGTGGGG